GGGGGGGGAGGCCAGGCGTGGCATGTCTGTAAGGCGAAGTAGGCTGCGCAGCCAGAGCAGCCTCTTTGGCTGGGCCATGGAACGCTGAGAGCCCGCCATACAGCACGCCATTCTGCTCGGACAAACCATTGATTTGAGTAGCGGAAGCCAAAAACCTACCTGCAGTGTGAGGCCTAGCGCGCCAATCGAGCGCAGCAGCAGCATGTCGCACATGAGCAGCCCCGCCCAGTGCCGCGCCGCCGCGCCGCCCGCCGCGCCGCCGCCGCCGCCGGGCGGCGCCATCAGCAGCGCGACCACGTTGGCGGCGACGCAGTAGCGCAGCGCGGAGCGGAGGGCGCCGCCCGGCTGGCCGAGGTGGGTGGCGTCAGACAGGAGGGCCTCGAAGAGGGGCCCAGAGGGCGCGGGGCCCATGCGGGGCGGGACCTTGAAGCGGGCCGCGACCTGGTGGGGGCGAGGAAAGGGGGAAGCAGATGGGGGCTGAGCAAGAGGGTGTTTTTGGCGGGCGAGGGGCGCGTCGAGGGCCCAAGGGGGGTGGACAAGGGTCCGCGTCGGTTGAGGTGAGGAGTGACGGGTCCCGATGACGGGCGTGGGGGCGCAAGCCGCGAGGCGCCCGAGAAGTGTCCCCTTGCAACGCTGGGCTCTGCAAACCCCCAGGCTCTGTGACACCCTAGACCTTAACCCAAACGTCCTCCAGGATCCTCATCCTCGTTGCATCCCCCAGAACGACATGGCGAGAGTACCATCCCAGGAGCGGCGGTGCCGCCCTATCTTAGAACCCTCCCGAACACCGATTCAAGCCCCGGCCCCGCACCTGCATCAGCAACCCGCCCAGAGCGTCCTCACACGCCGCGCTCCCGTGCACCCGGCTCGCCAGCGCCGCCCGCAGCAGCGCCGCCCACGGGCCCGGCTCCCTGAAGCAGTGCCGCAGCAGCTCAATGCTCCCGCTCAGCCCAGAGCAGGCGCCGGCCACGCGCCCGTCGTTCGCGCTCTCCTCGGCTGCCGGCGCCGCCCCCTTGCCGCCGCCGGCGGCCGCCTCTGCCGCGGCCGCCGCCGGCGTCTGCTGCTCCCGCAGCGCGGCCTCGCGGAGCGGCCCCTCGTAAAATTCGGCGATCGTCGCCTCCTCAACTTCCGCGTCGGCCGGGGATCCGGCGAGCATCAGGCGCGCCGCCGCGGGGGGCGACGGTACGCCGGCGACGGCGGACAGGTAAGATGGCAGTACCGCGGGCGCGAGGCAGGGGAAGCGGCGCAGGGCGTTCTGCACAGTGGCCAGGGCGGTGGCGCGGACTGTGGCGTAGGGCATGAGGGTGGCCTGCAAAGGGTGGGGTTGGATGGAGTTGGAATGCATGGGTCGTTGCTTGGTGATGAGAATCGTCAAGTCTGTCCAGGCATTTCATAATGAGCGACTGTTTGTACACGGGATCATGGGCCTCCACATCCTGAGCCGATGCCAAGGGAGTTGGGTCGCCGTGTAACTAGCAGAGGCGCCAGCTGGCCGCGTTTCTCGGTGCCAAGTGATCCCATTGTGTTGACCTTGGCAACAAAACAGCGCCCGGCGCCGCGGCGCCCCCGCACCTGCAGGACCTCCGCGAGCAGCTGGCGGTAGCTGGCGGGAAGCTGCGTGACGGACGTGACCTCGGGGGCGCCGCGGCTCTGGTACACCCTGCGCGGCGAAATGTTCGACAACCAACGCATGAGGTGCGCGAGCAGGCGTCAAACCATAGGAACCACACTATCACCCCACTTGTCGAAAAGACCACAAGACCACTGCTTGGATCATCGCCAAGTTTGCAGTCCACCCGTACACGCCCCATTTGAGACCGCCTGAACGCATATCATTGTTTGTCCCATGTCCGCAGCGGGCCGCCCACCTATACGCCTCCTGGCTGGCCCTCCATAGCACAAGGCGCTTCACGCGCTCCACAGAGGACATGAAGCTGCTGCGCTTGCGCCACCGCGGCTCGTCGTCGCCCGCGCCTGCGCGGTGGAGCACAGGTGCGCGTGCGTCACACAGGTGTGCGTGTGCGTATGTGTGCATGTGTGTGTGTGTATGTGTGTGATCTAGGAAGAGAGCGCGCACACGCGCACGCGCAGGCCCGCGCGCGCGCGCGCGCGCGTGTGTGTGTGTGTGTGTGTGAACGTGCGCATATGTCAGTATTGCACATGGAGAGGCAGTAAGCCAACCAGAATTGGCGTCACAGGCAGGTGACGTCACAGGCTCCTATCCAGGCTAGCAAGCATGGCGGCACACGACACACAATCACAAGTCCCGCCCGCCACGCACCCGCCCCCAGCTCACCACCGCTGCCGGCGCCAGCGCGGGCAAGGCCACCCGCGGCCTTCCCCGCGAGGAGCAGCGCCGTGGCGGCGGCGGGCTCCTCCGTGATGCCGCTGTCGCCCTTGCCGGTGTGGCTGCGGGTTTGGAGGGAGAACAGGGCACATGTTCAAAGCAAGGCCAAACACAGTGCACTTGTCCCGCTCCACAGCGCACCTGACGCACGAGCATCGCATCATATGCCAGATCCAAGGGGGTCAACTTCAAGTCAATAGAATGGCACGTAGAGGGGCTGGGTGCCCCACACGAGCGCATGCCCGGCGCCCGCCCACGCCCTTTCGTCGCCCGCACGCCCCGCACTCGCCTGCGTTGGCCCCCCAGCTGCTGCTCCAGCATGCCGGGGCTCAGCAGCAGCATGGCGGCTGCCAGCGTCTGCTCCAGCAGGTCGCGGTCGCAGCCGTCGCGCAGCTTGCTGCAGGTGGCGTGGTTGGGTGGGTAAGAAGGTCAGTCAGTCAGTCATGTGGTTGGTTGGTTGATTGGTTGGCCACTTCAAAAGAGGAAGTTGGTTAGCTGGCTAGCTGATTGGGGAGCTGATGTTGGGGTTGGGTTGGTCGGGTGGCTGGTTGGGGCGGGTTGAGGCTTGCGGATCGACGGCAGGGACGGCTATTGAAGGGACGGCTGGGATGAGGGGGACAGAAAGTCGCCGAACCACGCGCTTAAGTCGGCTTGCCGCGAGGCTGCCGCAGACCACAGACCACAGGCCGCAGTCTGCAGGCCGCAGTCTGCCGGCCGCAATTTGTTGACACCGTCCACAGACTGCATTCTGCAAACAGTCCGCAAGCGCAGCAGCGCCCCATGCAGCGGCCGGCACCTCATGCGTACGCTCCCCCCGCTGCAGCTCTTCCATTAAACATGCGTATGCACGCGCTCACACGACGGACAAACCAAAGCGCCCCGCCACGCACCTGATCACGTTCGCGAGCGCCGCCGCCGCCGCGTCCCTCGCGCCCGGACGCCCCACCGGCGAACCGGTCCGCCCCACCGGGTACAGCGGCACCGCCGCCGCCGCGCCTGCCCCGGCGTCACCCTTGGCGGGCCCTGCGGCGCCGTAAACCCCGCTGAAGTCCTCCAGGCGCCCCATTAGTCCCATCAAAATCGCCGACAGCCCCGATATCAAGCTTTGGCACATCTGCTTATGAGCAACGGCGTCCTCGCCGCCGCCCGCGGCCCCCGCACCGCCCGCCGCGTCGCCGCATATCGCGCTCTCCAGCTTCCGGACGGCTTCCAGCAGGTACCTGTCCACCAGCTTCCCGGCGGCTTCCACGTGGGCGCGCTCGGGCTCGACCCATGGGAGCGGCGCCCAGTCGCTGCCGTGCCTGTCCACCCACATCTGCAGCCCGCCCGCCGCGGGGGCGTCACCGGCGGCGGCGTCACCGGCGGCGGTTACGG